ACTAAAAATTGTCATTGGTTGACATATTCCCTTTCTTCCATGCTAGAATAAAATGTAGGTGTAAACACCCTGTATGACTCAGCAAACTGAATTCAAGCTGGAGAGTATAATGCAACTGAATCCCTTAGAGTGATGAGTGAGAAAAGATGGTCTCCATAAGTTCATAGAGACATGGTGTCTCTAACTTTAGGAAGCAGTTAGTCATGTAGTATGTTCCTTAAAGCAAGATTTCTTTTCTGTCTGTCTTTTTTCATCATTAATTGCATATTTATTTCAAATTAAAAACCTGGGAAATGTGGTCTTTGCCTTTTATACATTCTTGGAGAAGAATTGATGCCTTGTTTAAGAGACAATCCATTTTCTTACTCTGTAGGACTTAACATGTGCTTTCACCAAAGTGTGTGTTCCTAAAGAGTGTTTTTGACATTGGTCAATTCAAATCAGTATGCCAGGAGCCTGTTAGCAAGCGCTAACAACCCAGCGCTAACAATGTAGTTTTCCTCAGCTAGTATGTTGAAATGCCATGTTTCTTACTCCAACTAAAAACTGATTTGATTTGAAATGATTTTAAATCAGCAATGGTTTGAAAGTAAACTTAGGTGACTAAATTCTTAAATTATTTGCTCCAGTCCAAATATACAAATATTTTCCTATGCAAAAACGTATTAAGATTTTTCCAAGTGTATTTTTTTTGTGTATAAATTGCATCATTCATGAAACTTGATTTATGGTATGCCTGTATTTAAGTTCAAGCTATAAAGTTATTTTTGAATCATTTCAGGTGTGCCCTGCTCTAAGAAAAGAATTTTGAAAAGTCAAACTTATAAATCAGGCTGAGGGTGGTTAATATTTTTTTGAAAGGATTTAGGTTAATCTTTTACATTAAACTACTTCCATGAATTTAATGGATGGTATTTTTTCTAATGAGTTTAATTGGTGGTTCAAAGATAACTTAAGCAAGTAAGTTAACCTCAGTTTTTTCATCTGTAAATAGGAGAGGATAGAATGATAATATATACATCATAGTGTAAACCAGCTACTACACTTTACCAAGGCTACAACAGGCAGCATTTCTGTTGTGAGACTTACTAGGAATGTACTCATGAGCCAGCTCAAACACCACCTCGTCAGCAAAGCATATCCAATTCTTCCCCAAACAAAAGGATTTGCTCTCCTTCTCCAGGTTCCCCTAACACTTAGACAAATGGTAATCTGCAAGAAGCAGAAATATGTTTTATTTGTATTTTTGTTCTTGCACCCTTATCGCCTTTTTTCTCCTTCTTTGTCATCTTTCCTCCCCTTCTAAAAAAAAGAAACTAACGTGGTACCTGGCACTTGGCAGGAATGCTAGGATCTTTCATATCTAAACAAAATAACCAAATGAATCTTTGAAAAGTCTGTTCTTTATTATGTTTCGGAAAATTGGGCGCAGCCATTTTGTCCAGAGCCTTTTCTGTATGAATACGAGCAACATCAGCCAGCTTCTTTTTCTGAAGTTGCAAGCTACATTAGTTTTGACCCTATAAATCTATAGTTATCCTTGTCTTAAGTTATTATTATTGTATTGGTGCATTTAATCAGACCTTTAAAAATATTGTTTTTTGTATGTTGCAAACTTCTGTAATAGATTGATTTGCATGCATCAAATGGCAGAAGACAGTCATTTATTTTTGTTGATATGGCTTCCTGTGTGAATGTAATATATAAATTTATTTGATTTCCCATAAAACTCCCAATAAACTTTTTTTTTTTTTGTGAGGAAGATCATCCCTGAGCTAACATCCATGCTAATCCTCCTCTTTTTGCTGAGGAAGACCAGCTCTGAGCTAACATCTATTGCCAATACGCCTTTTTTTCCTCCCCAAAGCCCCGGTAGATAGTTGTATGTCATGGTTGCACATCCTTCTAGTTGCTGTATGTGGGATGCGGCCTCAGCATGGCCGGAGAAGCGGTGCATTGGTGCGCGCCCAGGATCTGAACCCCGGGCCGCCAGTAGCGGAGCGTGCGCACTTAACTGCTAAGCCATGGGGCCGGCCCCCCAATAAACATTTTTAAAGCACAATTTTCCTCAACTTTCTTCTCGAAAATAGCTGATTTTAACATGTGGCTGACAGTAAGGCAGTCAAAAGAGAAAATGGGGTTTATTGCTTTTTATATAAACCTAAGGAACCTTCAGGTTTACAACTTAAATTTGGATCACAACCTAGATTTAATTTCTTTTGTAGCTTGATTGTAATTAACAGGACTTTGAACTCTTATCATTTGTACGCAGCCCTGTTGGTCTCTTTCCTTCCCCCAGCACACATTTTTTTTCATATGTGTGTTTGTTGTCTTGTATCTTTTTTTCTATTTTCTCTTTATTTGATTGACTTTTGAATCCAAGTATGTAAGGCTGTCCATACTACTGTCTATCCTATGCTGTCTGACACAATAGCCACCAGCCACATGTGGTTATTTATCACTTGAAAATGAGGCTGGTCTAAATTGAGATGTGCTGTAAATGTTAATTACACACTGCATTTTGAAGACTTGGTAGAAAAAATGAATGTAAAATAGTTCATTAATAATTTTTATGTTAATCACATGTTGAAACTAGAATATTTTATATTATATATTGTCTTATATCTTGTGCCTAGTTTACTGGAGTTCTTCACTGGGGAAAAGAGGAGAGAGTTACTGACAGCTGTCTTTCCGTGAGACAATGGGAATATCGCTGCTATCCTTCCTGACCTCTTTCCTGTCCTAATAGATCTTGCAGAAAGCAATAATGGAGCATTGAGCTTAGGGTTTTTCCTGGTTTTGAAGTTACTGGCTAGAGGAATTAAAATGTAAACCAGTATTTTTACATTACTTGTTTTTCTTTAACTTGTATCACTATTAAATTCCATTATATTTATATTATGGTAGTGGTATTAGCTTTGACTTGCATATACTCAAATGTATAAAGGGGCCAGGCAAATAACAAATGAATAAATCCATCCTATGTTAGACAATATGGAGTGATATATGTCCTGTGCAACAGGTATATGTCCTCTCTGGAGGGTAATGGTAACTCTTATTCCTGTTCAGTTGACTATTGTTTTATGGGAATATATGTTGCCAGATCTTTCAGGTTTTCAAGAGGAGCCAAAATCTGGATTTTTAAGGATCTGAAATCTCCTAATTTTTAAATACTGACCTATAATGCAAAATTTAAAAATATTTGTGCAGGTCAAATCAAATATACTGTGGTCTGAATGGTACTGCTTTGTAACTTGGACCTAAGGGGATGTTTCTTGGAAATAAATGTAGGTTTTAGGTACTTTAGATGACCTAATTAAAGTATGCCAGTTAAGAAGAGAGGCTTACAATCACCTGTTGATGAATGGTTTTTAAATTTCACACCTTTTAGAGAATATTAATCTCAAAATAGTAGATACTTGTGAAATAGTATGTTACAGTTTCTATGTATTTTTTGAGTATGTATTTCTAGTATAGTTATATTTTCTGTAGGGTTTTCTGCTCTTTATTCTCTTATTTAATTTTCTGTTGCTCATTTTAATGTGAATTGAGTTTTCTCAAACATTTAGAAGAAAGCTCATGTCAGATTGCTTTCCTAAACTCCCAGAGCTCCCTTTTCTGGTGTGTGTGTGTGTGTGTGTGTGTGTACTGTTCAGAAATACCAGGTGGGCTGCTTTCTGAGACTTCCTGGCTCTGGTCCCTTCCGTCCATTCCCCCCTAGTTTTATTTTGACTTACTCTTTCCTTTGTCTCTGCTGTGCCTCTCCTGCTCCATCTTGACACCACTCCAGGCAGTTTCTCCTTATTGTGTCATTTATCCTGGAATGGAGCCTTGGAGAGGCTGTTTGGAGAGTTCTCAGGGACTAGATTTCTCCCGCCCCAGGAGAGGCCTAGTAGTTGTCCTTACTTGCATTCACCAAATACTAGAATGGGCTAAACCCTTCCCAATTTCAGCTGCTATCTCAAATTGGCCCACAGCACTTTCAGTGAATACCTGATGGTTGTTTGGGATTCTCCTGTTTTCAGATTTCTCATGTGCTTTGTGGCTTCCTTCTGCTTTCTTCCATACTGATGCTGACAATATGCAGATCTTGAGGCTATTGGTGATTCATGGAGTATACTTTTCCACATAGTTATGTTGTAAATGTTTCCCTTGGGTTTTAGATCTGCTATCTAGTTGCTCCGTCTGTTTTTATGTGGGGAATCAGGAAGGTTCAAATGCGGCTGTCCTCTCAGAAAATCCAGATGCACTAAATTTGTAACCTAATATGTGGGGTGGCAGCAAGAATTCAGATGGTTAATTATGTTTGAAATCATAGAAAACTTGAAAAAAAAAAAAGATGACTTAGCTCATGGTGTTGAAAGCTGTTGTGTTTCTGGCAGTGTATAAACTCCACTCCTAACCAGAGACAAAGTATATCAGCTAGAATAGTTTGTGTCTCTACCTTTTTGTGGCCCTATTCCGAATTTAGTGCCCAAGTCAGGTCTTGTAAAACACTGAAAGATTACATGAATTACCATTCACTGTTCAGCTTGGTATTAACCAAAAAATTTACTGAATATTGCTTGTCCTTATTCCCTAGATATAGATAAAATAGCATTTGAAGTTCATGCAGAAGAGCTCCATTGAGTAATCAATATTTAATAAGGGCCAATTTGCTCAGTTTCACTCACAGAAAGGCAATATAGTTTTGAAATACATATCTGCTTCAACTTCCTTAATATGCAAGTAAAGACTCCACTCTCTCTTTAAACTTAAAGAATAATGCCTATGCACACTGTTTTAGATGGATTTGCAATTCTACAATGATCCTGATTTTTGGAACTTAACTTTTAGTATGAAAAGTTCAGTTCTTTGCCACACAGAATTTCAGCCATATTGTTAAGTTATGTATGTAAAGATAAAAAAAGATTAGAAAGTTGTATACTACTTCTCAGTGTAGATATTATGTTCTGTGACATGAGAATATATACATATTTTTTCTCGATTTCTCTTTTAAGGTCTCAGCCAATTTCCTCTCCAGTCATCCTTCAGTTTGGTCATGCAGAGACCCTTCTTCCACTGCTTTCTCTCATGGGCTACTTCAAAGACAAGGAGCCCCTAACAGCTTACAATTACAAGGAACAAATGCATCGGAAGTTCCGAAGTGGTCACATTGTACCCTATGCCTCAAACCTAATATTCGTGCTTTACCATTGTAAAAATGCCAAGAATCCTAAAGAAGAATTCCGAGTGCAGATGTTATTGAATGAAAAGGTGTTACCATTGGCACACTCACAAGAAACTGTTTCTGTGTATGAAGATCTGAAGAACCATTACAAGGACATCCTTCAGAGTTGTCATACCAGTGAAGAATGTGAATTACCAAAGGTGAACAACACATCTGATGAGCTTTGAGTAACTGGAGAACATTTTTAATTCATCCAGAATCTATAGGGAGGGATTACATGCTTGGAATAGGTGGGCAATCCTTGGTTACTGGTTACTGAAAGCTTTCACATTACTTGGGTATTTCTGTCTTTTCACAGAAAAACATTGAGTTTCTTTTTGAGTCTGGACATTCATGTATAAGAAAAGATTCTTCACTGGAGCAGCTCTCTTAAGGGGAAAAATATTTATTCACAGAAATAGCTGGCACTGCAAATGTTTACAGAAATTAAATTCTTCCTATTTATATAAGAAATCTCACACTGAGATAGAATATGATTTCAAAGTGATACTTGAAGGTGCTGGAGTAACAAAATATTATGTCAGTTGGACGATCCATAGCTTGATTGAACTAAGTCTAGGAACTTTACCAGTTGTGCTGCAGTTCTCTCTTTTTTCCTCAGGTAGCATAGTGCTAGTTTTGTCTTTTTTAGTCAGAAATATTATGATAGACTAGGAGTATCACTTTGGAAGAAAGCTAACATCTTTCTAGTTGAGAATTTGAAACAACGTTAAGAAACGAGTCTGATTAAAAGGACACCTTCATGGAAGGAAGACAAAAAGTATAATAAAATAAATATTTTTGTTAATACTATTTATAAAGTATTTGAACACTTGTTCAATAATTTCTTTTAACTTCCTAGTAAGCCTTGCAAGGTCATTCTTTAATTATTATCATATCTGTTTTACATATATAACAATAGAGGACAAAGAGGACCATTAGCAACAAGTCAGATGGATAGAATCAAAGTTTCTTAAATCCATTGCTTAGCAATTTTTTCCATTCTGTCACTTTGCTTCTATTTTTATATTTTGCTATTATGTGAAATGTGTCTTTTGGTTGTTCAATTTTTTTCTTTTTTTTTTTTTTTTAAATAAAGGCTTTATCCTGGCTGGCTTAGTTTCACAGATATGAACCCATTTCAAAGAGTTCTGTCAAATGCCTTGAAAGTGTTTGCTATAATAATAAACAGAATTCTTGTGACTTTGATACCAGGTCTTTTCTGCTTTCTGTGTTGATATACAATCAGTAATCTATGGTAAAAAGTTGGAATTTCAAGCAGCTTTGACTAAATCAGTCAATATAAGGCAGTTTTCTTCTAATAGAAATTGCCTCAAATAAATTTTCACTTCTTAAAGAAGAATGGAAATCTATTTTATTAAAAATCTAAATAAGAAGTATCACAATTATATATTGAAATTATAAAAGAAGATGCATAGATCATTGATCTTCAAATGATTGATGTTCGTAAAATAGATGATTAGCTGGTAAATACTGCTGATGCCTCAATACACTGGTGATTGTTCCTGCAAAGGTCTGGTATTATCTTTTTCTTTTTTGAATTTGTAAATAAGCTGACAAGAAGAGAATAATATAATGAGCATTCATGCCCATCACCCTGTTTTATCAAAATTAACATTGTAACATTTGGTTTCCATCCAAATAAGAACAATTGAGGACTTCTGTATGCCTCCCTGATGCTGTTGTTGCCCTCACTCCCTGCCTAGAGGTAACCACCAACGTAAAATTCAGTATTCTCCATTTCATTGCATGCTTGACTCTGGAAACTTGTAGTTTTGCTGTGGGAATTTTAAAATTTTCTATAAAAAGACTTATACTGTGCACATCATTCTTGAATGAGTGATTTATTTTAACTGCTGAGTTTGTTTTTCAAGACCTTTTTTGATCCTGATCATTTTTCACAAATTGCTACTATCAATTCATCAATACCTATTGAGTACTTTTTATGTACAAACACTAGATTCAGTTGATGGACATATAAATTTGAATGAACTTAGTTCTTTCTTTCAACGGGGTTATCTTAAAAGACCTTAAAACAACTTACAACTAGTATATACAACCACGTACTGGGGCTTTGGGGAGCAAAAAAAAAAAATTTCAGAGTCCCACCCTAAATCTAAAAAAAAAGACCTTAAAACAAATTTGCTTGGTGTCTGACACATTAACTAAATAATTTTTGATTCAGAAACTTTTAATAGACTGAAAGTTTTATAGGAATTGTTTAATTTCATTGTTAAATAGGACCATATAGTCATCTTCGTAGTCATCGGTATGTAAAATATTTCAGGATGGAGGATTAGTGTGGTCCGTTTTTGCTAATGTTACAGAGGTTGTGATATTATTCTGGTGCTATTATTCTTATTTAGGAAATGCCTGAAACTGAAGACTCTCATGATAAAAACTGAAAGCCTTTTGTAGGATAGGATATAAAAAGTTGAACATCAAAAAATAATCTTTGGCTAAGAAGAGGTCATTCATAATAGGTGACCAAACTACTCTGTTAAGTGTTAATTTAATCACTATTGGTTCTGATATTTTGGTTGATTAATAAATAGCCTGTGGACATTAGCCATTTTTCTGTCTAATCTACGACTTAGTGTGTGCACTGCATTATAGTCATCATTTTGAAGTTTCTGCTCTCCAACACATAATCATTCACTTGATACTGTTTTTGTATATAAGCAAAACTCAACCTGTAAAGAAAAAGGAGCTTCTTTTTTTGAAGGCGTAATCAACTTTTATGATATCTTTACTTGAGTGCTTTCCTTTTATAAATGGCAGAATTGATGCATGCTTAAATATTTGAGAGTTACATGCAACCAAACCAGAATAGATAAGTGTAAATTTTTGGAATATATTTCTCTAAGATGGTATCCTATGTGGTTCATTAATGATCCTTGGAATTTGGATTCTCTTCTGCCAGATATAAGCTGAAAATAAACATTTGCATTACCATATAATTTGCCTGTATCTAGCTCTTCTCATGAATTTACTTCACAGATCACTCAATTCTCTCCTAACCATTCTTTTTCTCTCACTGAAGTATTTCCTTCCACTCACTTAGCAGCCCAGTCCACTCTGAAGCACCTTCACATCAATCTGTTAACCTATTTTTTTTATTGGGATGTGTGTATGTGTAACAGTATTTTCGGGGGGTGGTGAGGAAGATTGGCTCTGAGCTAACATCTGTTGCCAATCATCCTCTTTTTGCTGAGGAAGATTGGCTCTGAGCTAACATTGGATTGGTGCCCATTTTTGTATGTGAGACGCCTCCACAGCATTGCCTGACGCGCAGTGCATCGGTCCGCGCCTGGGATTCGAAACTGCGAACCCCGGGCTGCCAAAGCAGAGCGTGTAAACTTAACCACTACGCCACTGGGCTGGCCCCTGTAATAGTATTTTTGAGAAAATTCTACAGCAAGAAAAAAGATGTCACGTTCTTCCAGTAAAAAGGTTTGTAGTTTGAGCTTTATACTTGGCAACTTGTGAGGTTAACTTTTAAAACTTTAACTATGTTATCATTACCGAAGTTGTACATTTTAAGATAGAAGGATTCTTAATTTTATTATTTCTGAAACTAGTCTCAATTCAATATCTTCCATGTACTATTGCCAGATTTTAAACCATTATTTACACCCAAGCAGTTCATGTTCACACTTTTGTTTGTTGTACTGGGAGAACAAATATTTGTTGATTATAATGATAGCCCTCCAAACTGAATAATACTCCTAGTATAAAGAGAACGTTTCATTAGAATATTTATTTCACATTATTTCTGAAATAGCTAGTGTGGAAAATTAAGTTGGGATGAAAAATCTATAGATTCTCTCTGCTTTTTTCATTAGAGTTCATCCTACCAACCTTGGTTCTGATTGTTTTTTGATAGAACTTTAACAATTTGGGTGCTTTTGGAAAGTTTTTTTAACAAATATTCTGGGGGAAAAAACCCAGTTTTTGTGTAAATTATATAAATATACACTTGTGCAATTTATCTTTGAATATCTACAGATGAGAAAATTCAGTTTAATTGATAAGAAACATGCTTAATTGGAGATAGGAAGAACACTAATTTTGCTCTAGCTGTAGTTGCTCTTCCTTTGAGAGACTGTTGGTTTCTTTTCCTTACAATTTTTTTCCTTTTTCCCTTGCCTTCATGAGAAAGTGAGACGACTAGTCTTGGTAAGACAAGGTAGTGCTTTTTTCTTCCGTCTGCAGCTTGCTCCCTGAAACTTTTGTCACTCTTTGCATTGTGGAGATTCGGATGAGAGCCTGGTTTTCTAGTTTGACTATTTTAGGTAGTTATAGTATTGTAGTCTCCTTAATCCACCCAAGTGCTATCCATGGTAGGAAAAAACACTGAAAAGAGTCTGAGGAGAGAGATTGAGATCCTTGGGGCAGAAGAATGAAGAAATGAGATAGAAACAATCCCCTGCCTTTTCCTTGCTGACAGATACACAATACATGCAACTCCCAGATGTAGATAGGGAATCAGAAGTAGCTGAGAGTCTACATCCACTTCAGTCTGGTTGCAAGGTTTCAGGTCTTTCTAGTAAGGGAAATGGACTAGAGCAGCCACCACGATGAAACTTTTATTAAACAGGTGATGCTAATTTTTGCTTCAGACACCTGCTGGAAGTAGGAGATTAAGTAATACTTGCTTTTCAAGTCTAGCAGCTATCAGCCTAGCTCTTGAAAAATAGAAGCATGGCTAAAAGATTTTCCTCCTACCCATGGGCCTATGGGAGCTTCAAAGATCTGTTTTCTTTTAACAGGTCTAAAAACTCTTTGGTTACTAAGTATTTTATTTTATTTTATTTTATTATTTTTTTTATAATTTTATTTATTTATTTTTTCCCCCAAAGCCCCAGTAGATAGTTGTATGTCATAGCTGCACGTCTTGCTGTATGTG